GATTGGCACAGGACAGACCAGAGTTCAGGGCTGTTGTGCATAGGGTTACTATGAGTCACAAGGGACTCACGGCACATAACAACAACAACAACAGCCTTTAGGTGGTGACTGTATGCTACTTCCTGAAATGGTTCCTTGTTGGCCAATTCTTTTTGGTACAGTGACTCTTGAGCATTCCTTCAATCTTTTAATGTTTCCTGGATCAGTTAAGATTGGCTCATAGAATCCTTTAGTATTACAACTTGAGGCCTGAATTTGTTCTCCAGTTCTTTCAACTTAAGAAATGATAAGTGACTTCTGCCCTTTTAAATTTGACCTTTGTGTATACACACACACACAGACACACACACACACATATATATGTATGTATGTGTGTATATACACACACACACAGAGACACACACAATAAGTCAAATTTAAAAGGGCAGAAGTCACTGTGTCAAAACCAAACTAGTATTTTCAAAGGGCAAATGGTGAGAAATACAAGTTGACAGAAACTAACAAAAATTTTACAATAAAATTTAAAATTCTGGTGGGAGGGGATGGGTAGGGAGAAAAGTGCAACACTGAATGACTGACTGGAAACCCTAAGTCTCTGTAAACTTTCATTAAAATTAATTAATAAAAAAGCTCAGTAAAAAAATTTAGGTGTTCTGTGGTAGAAAAATGGGCAATTTCCTCCCGTGTGATTTATAACCTCTGAAAACCCACTGCAGGGCACATAACAACAATTAGCTAAAGACTGAAAAAATAAATAAACAAATAAAAATCAGATTTTGGCTGAAAGGGGATTGAATGATGAAAAAGAGGAAAATAGGGGAAAAATAAAACTAGTGCTGTGTTACTTAGGAATTAGGCATTTTTAAGCTTAGGTCTCAAGTAGATTGTCATTTTATTTTCCTTGTTCTTTCTCAAGAAATAGTTGTAGATGCCTTAAAACCCTAGCAACTACAGAGAAAGCATAATGAGAATTTATAATGGAGATATTATCAAGCAAATAGTGAACACTGTCATAATTAAGTTCCAACTTGTTCCATTTAGCTATAAGAACATCTAAAAGGAAAAAAATACCAAGTGCAGAGAATGTGGATTAGAAAAGATCTGTAAAACTCAAAATGCTTTCAACTATGAAATACCTTTCAGTTGTGCCACCACATTATTCAGGTATTTTATAAGCTCAGGATCAGTCGTTACGAGCAAGGTGAGTCCATATTTTTGCACTCGAGTGAAGGTTTCAGATGGATATATGCCACGCTGATATAAAATGCTGTTAATGCCGAATGCTGAAAGTAAAACAAACGTTAAAGAGTTATTATCAATTATTACTTCAGAAAAGAAAATCCATCTTACTGTGACTTTGGTTTCATTGAAAATATGAAAATGTTAAATGTCTCAGTGTGTTGACTAAAAGCTGAACAGGTGGACAAAGCGCCATTAAATATCCTTAGACGTTTGCTTCTAGAGAAGAGATGGCAATATATTCATTAATACGGCAATAAAAAGAAAATCACATGCCCAAATGAAGGCATTAAGTGCAGCAGTGTCAAATTTCAACTCACTGCAATATGAAGCCAGATCCTGATATTGATTTAGATTATGTCAAAACAAGCTTGGATGGGCTGGTTAAAGACCCGGGACAGGGCTCTCTCTCCTCTTGTTCCTCTTTTTCTCCTCTAACATTTGGCCAAGATATAAGGCTGGGTGAACCGAACTGGGCCTACTCACGGCGCTGCAAATAAACTGCAGGCAAGCGCTAGGGCAAATATGCACCAGGTCCCAACTTAACTGGGTTCTCAGCCAATGGGAAGTCGCACTAAAAAGCGCTCCTAGTGCTGCGGTTCCACCAGGCGGGTCTCGGCAGCACTCACACCTCACCCTCCTCCTCCTCTATTAGCAACGAGTCACGAGTGAAGCTCCTGCATCCGCTGCCCGCCACCTCCTCCCCCCCACCCCGGTTCTTCAGACCGAGCAGCCAGCGCAGCCTGCAATTCAAGGCCTCTCGGGCCCACACCGACTCCCCGCCTCCGAGGCCTAAGCAGCGGCCTGGGCCTGGTGCTCCCCAATCCCGACCTGAGCGAGCAAAGCTTACAGAAGAACTCCGCTACGATTTCGGCGCTCCCGCGGAGGGTGATGCCCTGCTCCCGGGTGAGCTGCAGCGCCATGGGTAGGCACACAGACGAAGGCGCGCGCTTTCACCAGGTAAACAGAGAGCTTAGCGGTTTAGACGGCAGCTGCCCGCCACTCTTTCAAAAGTAACGCCAATGCCGCCCTTGGAGCCTTTCGCGCAGGCGCGACGCGTCTGTTAGTCCCGCCCAGGCCGCGGCGGCCGGCCCTGTTAGCGATTTGCGCAGGCGCAATGGGTAGGGCGAGTCGCTTTCCGGACTTGGAGGGGTGGTTTGCTGACTGCTGGTGCTTGCTTTGTGATTATGCTCTCTGGAACAGGCTGAGTGAAAAAAAAAAAAAAAATTGAGCGATCCTGATTTTTCTGTCCACTTTCTGACTCAGCGAGTCAGGAGGACATTTTTAGTTTTTAAAGGTACTTTAAAACCGATGCGAACTCCTTCCATGGAATTCTTAAGTATTCTAATTCAAGACTTGAATTTGTTTTTCTTTAGCTTAAGAAATACTAAATTAAAAAAAAAAAAAAATTGAGCGATCCTGATTTTTCTGTCCACTTTCTGACTCAGCGAGTCAGGAGGACATTTTTAGTTTTTAAAGGTACTTTAAAACCGATGCGAACTCCTGAAGGGGCCCCAATGATCTTTGTACTTGAGTATGTTGCCCCCAAGTTGACGGTAGAAACTTTTCTGAGAATCAACTTCCGCTGGGCGCAAAAGAGCCCAGTTCCAAGATCCTGGATTAGAGATGAAAGGGAGAGTTATATGTACTACAACAGGCCAGAATAAGAAATATATCATTGCAAAGAGGACTGGAAGACGAGGGTAGGTGATTGTGCAACAGTGAATGAATATTTTTTAAAAAGTGAACTGGGGAGAGGATAGGGAAGGGGAGAGGCTAAAACGTGCAACAAGAAATGAATGAGAATCTAACTTAACTGTAAATGTACTTTAAAGTCACAATTAAAATATTTTTTCAAACAAAAAGGAAATCTGCTTCAATTTTTCTGTCATTTGTCCACTTCGGCGCTCCAAGCTTCGCTGTGGATCCAAGTATAAGGCATCTGGAGACAGTGTCTCCATTGCAGGTTGGACACCTCATCAACAGCTGATCAGAAATCAACTCACAGCACCAAAAAGTGCAGGACCATTGAACATGAGTTTCAACTCACAAATCAGTGGCTTCTATGTAAAGCACATGGTTCTAATTCACCCACAGCTCCGCGGGAGAAAACTGTAATTTACTGCCTCTGAAATTCACTGGAAGGACTGCTGTGGGTCAGTTCTGATTTCATGGCACACAATAACAATGTTAGAGTGAGGACTATTATGGAGACATTTCACAATGTTTATGTCATTGTCATGTGCCTTTTTTTGTTATGTTAGATACCTGCTACTCATAGCTACCCTATCTACAGCAGCCCTAAACCCTGCTCTATCCTGTGCCAATCTTATTGTCTCCGACACACCTATGTCCATTACCCCAGTGACTGAATCAATCCATCTCATCGAAGGTCTTTCTCTCCTGTGCTGTCCCTCCGTATTCCCAAGCATGACATCCCTCTCTTGCAACATGTGCAAAGTATATCAGATGAAGCTTCAGAATCCTTGCTTCCAAAGAGTAGCCAGGCTTCACATTCCCCAGGACAAACTTATTTGTTCTAGCAGTCCATGGTATATTCAACACTCTTCTCCAGCACCACAGCTAAAAGGCATCAACTCTCCATCATCCCTAGTCATTGTCCAGCTCTCTGATGCATAGCAAGTAATTGCAGAGACCATGACCTGTTTCAGGTGCACCTTAGTCTCCAGACTGACATCCTTAATTTTCAGTACTTTGGAGAGGTCTCTTACAGCAGACTTTCAGCTTGCTTGGCTTCATGATCAACACTCTTGGTACCATAAGCCAGGAAATCAAAAGAAGAACTGCGTTGGGAAAATCTGCTGTCAGGGACCTCTCCAGAGTACTGAAGAGCAAGGGTGTCAATCTGGAGACTAAGATGCACCTGATGCAAGCTGTGGTCTTTGCAATTACTTGCTATGCATCAGAGAACTGGACATAACTAAGGATGATAGATGAAGAATTGATGCTTTTGAGTTGTGGTGCTGGAGAAGAGTACTGAATATATCATGGACTACTAAGAGAACAAATAGGTCTATCCTGGAGAAGGTGAAGCCAGGCTGTTCCTTGGAGGCAATGATTTTTTAAGCTCCATCCGACGTACTTTGGGCATGTTGCTAGGAGGGACCAGGCCTTGGAGAAGACTTGAAAGGGTGGAGAGAAAGCAAAAGAGAGAAAGTTGCTGGATGAGATGGATTGACTGAGTGACTGGAGTAATGGGGGTAGGTGTGTCAGAGGCAATGAAATTGGCTCAAGATAGAGTAGGGTTAATAGCTGTTGTACATAGGGTCACTAGGAGTCACAGACAACTCGACGGCACATAACAACAGCTACTGCATGTTTTATTTTTAACCCAATACATGTAACATAAAATATATGATTGGTGACGTTTAGAATTTTCAGTGTTGTAGAAACATCACCACTATCTAGTTAGTTCTAGTATTTCATTATGACAAAAAACCCTTCCAAGTGTAAAATGGTGCAACCCCTGTGGAAAGCAGTATGGCGCTTTCTCAAAAAGTTGCAAATAGAGATACCATTTGACCCAGCAATTCCACTACTGGGAAT